CATCATATGGCAGGGTAGGGTGTTTGCCGCATGGAGTGAGTATGGTTTTACGCCGCTTTTAACAATATTCCAGCAATATCACGGCGGGGCACACCAGAAATGGGCTTCACACGTTGTACCCATGTCAGGAATCGAACCCGGGTCTTCGGCGTGACGAGCGAACGCTTTAACCACTAGGCTACCCTCCCCCAGCGCCCGGATTTGTGGCGTTTGGATTTGAAAACACGAGCAATGATTCACTTATTTAAACACAATAACATACAGTCTAGTTGCCGCACGAGAGAGTCTGACAACCTAATCACGACTAGATTGGTCGCAAGACAGCGATCAATTATATCCAGGACCAATTGATAAGCCATGCGAGGATCAACAAATGCTTCGGAACAGTGGCGCCAGCAAACAAATGCTTTTGACTAATCCAAAACAAAGCAAAAATGACCAAGTTATCGGGGCCATTCGGGGACTGACAGCAGATTGGGGACATCACGGAATCCAACAAAACCCTTCACAATAAGCTGGACAATGTCAATACATCTATCCAGAGCCTTACAGATCAGTTACGTATTGTGAAAGAGAGATCGGAACATTTGGAGCTGGAATATGTTTATAAACTCGAATATAAACTGGACTACCTTGAAAATCAAAGCAGACGATCGAGCGTGATATTTCACTGTGTACCCAAGAATAACACCTAGTGTCTGAAATGAACATAACGTACAGAAAAAAACAGTTGTTAAATTATCTTAATAAAAATTTAATAAAAAGGAGCCCAGAGACACACTTCATTTTCAGATACTGCAGTAATCTAGACTTGCCAAACATTATAGACTTGCATGGGCTGTATTTGATATATTTGTATCAGGGTTTGTAAGACAGACTAGGTGTACCCGAATCTGGACCAAATGAAACCCGGGATGAAAAGTCCCAGAAAAATCCTTAAAGATCTGCTGGAACTTAATGACTCTAAGATGGTGATCAATCGAGCTCAGGACCATGGGAGGTAACGCCATAATAGCTTAAATCCCTGATGATCACCAGAGACGAGGCATATTTACATCAGCCAAGAAATTAAAGGGCACATGGATTAGCGAACTTCTCGAGGAGAGTGAGAGAGAAGATGAGATATCTGAAATCGATGATGATTGAGAGCAGGAGAAATGACCAACGAGCTTATCAGAGAGTTGTATATTGACACTAATGACAGATGTGTACACCTATGATATTGACAAGGGCGAGGTTGTTGTTTTGAATCAGGCTGACAACAGGGCAGGAACTTCACGTGCAGACTCACAACCCGATGTCAATTTCAACGCCAGTCAACACAGGTAGGAGTGCGGCCCTGCTTTGCGTGACAATGAAATTGACAACACCAATGACCTGTCTGTCATGTGTTGGAACGTGAACGGTTTGAAAAATAAGCTAGATAATGAGGTGAGTTGAGTTGAAATTGGGTTTAACGTCGCGTCCAAGATTATTGCACTTATATAGCGACGTGCATGCACGTGTGTGTGTGTGTGTGTGTGTGTGTGTGTGTGTGTGTGTGTGTGTAGCTGCTTGTACTAGACCGGACTTATGCCGATTTATAGTGCTAGCCCACAGAGATAACATGCCGCAATTTAACATGAATACCCCACTCAGACACCGTATACTAACTCCGAGCCGACCATTCCTTGCTTTAACCCCTTAATGCCGAGCGCGCCAGACAGGGTAGCAACAAGTACCATATTTTAACGTCTTTTGGTATGACGCGGCCGGGGATCGAACACCGGACCTTCCGCTCTCCGGGCGGACGCCCTACCACTAGACCACGGAGGCGGTCAGCTAGATAATGACAGCTTCAAGTATTTCTGCACTGATCACAGTATCATTTGTCTTGTAGAGATATGGAACAACTGAGACTAGAGACTATGTTCCCCGAGTACAGTGTCTACACGAGCTACAGAGAGTATAACTACCGAGGGGGCGCGTCTGTCTGTGTTTCCACACTTCACTATTACATGGTCTGCTCCGTGTCATCACTGACCACACAGACATGATATTTCTGTTATTTGATAAGAGTATATTTAATCTAGCAAGTAATTTACTTATTGGTTTTGTATATATCCATCCTGTAAATACTCCAGTAATGACAGACGATAGAATCCATAAGGGTATAGAGTACTTAGATACAATCTTGTCTGCTGTGTTATATGATCACAATCACATCAAGATTGCGAATTATTCTTTTTCGTGACTATAATGCACGGTGAGGTAATCTGATTTTATTATGGACGACAACAACACATTGCATGTTTAGAAGACATGGCGTATGTATCGGGCGTATTTGACGTGCCCCGCAGTATCAGAGGTAATGTGCGTATTACAATGAACACTGGAGGGATCTGGTAGATTTTTGTTGTACGTTGCTGTCATATTGTAAATGGACGATTTGCTGGGGATAAGGACGGATCATTTACATTTTTAAAGGAGGGTGGCGCTAGTTTGGTTGATTATGTACTAAGCTCAACCATTTTTTTTGACAACATTTCCGAATTTAGTAATCAGATCACTTTCCTATCATACTTACCCTCCATGGATGTGATAGACAGGTCGATAATGTTGATGAAATGCATGTAAATAATATTCCTAGCTATACACGGAGAAATGAAATATGTGATGCCTTTAAACATAATGTTTCTGAGTCATTGTCTGCACTTGACATGGGTGAGTTGATGCATTTATTGTCTTTGAATGTGGATTTGGCTGTTGAAGCTTTGACCAATGCTGTACATAATGGCTCTATTTCATGCGGATTAGTTTCTAGAGCTAGAAAATTAAAACGTACATCTGGAGGTAAATGGTACGATACAGGCGGTGAGGATATGAAGACTAAAAAGTTTAATGTATTAGGCAAGGTTAGAGTTACTGGTGATAAGGATATTCTCTCTAGATAGTCTACAACAAGGAATAGTTACAGGTCGTTATAATTAAGCAGGAAGAAGAGATTAGAATACGAAAAGACTCGTGTTCGGACTTTAAGTGGCGTTAGTAAAACATTCTGGAAAAAGATATGTGCATTGACAAACAAGACAAGTTGTAGTCCTGTTTTCAACAGGATTTTACAAAGAGATTGGTTTTATTATTTTAAGAATATTTTAAACCACACTAATATACTTGTTGACTCGGATATTATTGAGCAGGTAGATTATATTAAATAACCAAAATAAACAAGTGTGTGATTTGTGTACTGATGATGGTGTAAATAATATTCTTAATGGTGATATTACACAGGAAGAGATCGAATCATCCATAAGAGATCTGAAGCAGGGTAAAGCTGGAGGGACAGATGGTATTAAGGCTGAGATGATCTAATGTTGAAGTTCTGTTTTAATTCTATATTTGTTTGTTTTGTATAATAATATTTTGTCAACGGGTAATTTTCCATCCGAATGGGCTTAGTGTGTTATTGTACCACTCCATAAAAAGAAAGCTTTGACGGTGTCAACAATTATAGAGGCATATCTTTGATGGATATTTTGGGGAAGTTATTCTCCTCTATTCTAAATGCGCGTCTTAAACGTTTTTCTGATCACTTTAACAGTGTACCCGAGGCCCAGGCAGGATTAAGGAAGGGCGATTGCACAACGGATAATATTTTCACTTTGCAATGTCTTGTACAAAAGTATTCTTCCAAAAGCGGCGGACGTTTTTATTGTATTTATGTAAACTTTAAGAAAGAATTTGATTCTGTTAATAGGAAACGACTTTGGTAGTCGATAATTAATAAAGGCGTTCATGGTAAATTATTCTCTGTACTGAGAAATACATATTCAAATATACAAGCAGCTGTAAGAGTATCCAACACAACATGACTAATTCTTTTGATAGTTAAGTGGAGTCAGACAAGGTGGTGTTATCAGCCTGTTTTTATTTTATCCACCCTACCGCCATCCACCCGCCTCCCATCCTCCACCACCCTAACACCACCAACTCACCACCCACTCTCCACGTCTTCCCACCACCAACCCACAAGCCACCACCCACCCTCCACCACCCACCTACCACCCTCCACAATCCACCAACCAAGCATCCTCCACCACCCACCCTCTACCACCCACCCAACATCCACCCACTAAACAGACATGATGTGGTATAAGTGAAACACTGTTCAAAGCGGCGGTAAACCACACTCACTCACCCACTCACCCACCCACTCACCCACTCACTCACTCACTCACTCACTCACTCACTCAATCATTCACTCACTCACTCACTCACTCACTCACTCACTCACTCACCCACTCACCCACTCACTCACTCACTCACTCACTAACTCACTCACTCACCCACTCAACCGGTAACCGTGCCACGTTATTATATGGATGTGGGTATTTTACGCACGTGGTTCTCTCTCCACCCATTATCCGGCACAATACTGTAAAGGTGCGCCGTGTTTCAATGTACTTTACAATGTATAATGCTCTCTCTCACAGAGAAGCGGCCTTGGCTGGGATCAGTTGTATCAATGAGAGAAAATATTTCCGTGTCACAGTTCCAGAACGTTGTGATCAATTCATGTCCTTGCAGGTGACATGGTGATAAACGCAGGGCACAGTAATGTAGCACACACGGATTACTGTTAAACCTCACACTGTGATATTCCTTAAAGAACTTGTTTTTCAATATATGTTCCAAACAAGACCGTCTTGGAGTATCAATCTTCATTAACCTGACCCTGATTTTCAAGCGATAACACCGATTGTGTCAAAATGTTTACGCCATATTGTTTATATCTTTTCCAATGCACACACCGGGCCGGCTACCAATTACGATGACATGAAATAGGAAAATGAAAACAGATATCTGCACATTCCAATCTTATCTGATAGATTCGACTAAAAAACCATATCCCCGGCTGCACGTTCCACAGTCGTCCCGTCACATAGACTATGTGTTAGTCTAGTTCCACAGAGACGGGGGATCTGGTGCACATGGGTGTGAGAGGGTGAACAAGCACTCACCTGGTTAGGTCGAAAACAGGATCCTACTCGCTGAAAGGAGGCAAGAAATATGAGCGTAGATTGTGTCAGGTCTTGATTAAGTTACAGCCTTCCGCTCCCCTGGTGGGCCTATGTCGACTTCTGTACTAGTAATTAACTTCCGTTCCCCTCCTGGGCTTATGTCGACTACTGTATTAGTAACAGCCTTCCGTTCCCCTCCTGGGATTATGTCGACTACTGTATTAGTAACAGCCCTCCGCACCCTGCTGGGATTATGTCGACTACTGTATTAGTAACAGCCTTCCGTTCTGCCGGAATTATGTCGACTACTGTATTAGTAACAGCCTCCCGCTCCCTGCTGGGATAATGTCGACTACTGTATTAGTGACAAACTTCCGTTCTTCTGCTGGGATTATGTCGACTACTGTATAAGTAACAGCCCTCCGCACCCTGCTGGGATTATGTCGACTACTGTATTAGTAACAGCCTTCCGTTCTGCCGGAATTATGTCGACTACTGTATTAGTAACAGCCTCCCGCTCCCTGCTGGGATAATGTCGACTACTGTATTAGTGACAAACTTCCGTTCTTCTGCTGGGATTATGTCAACTACTGTATAAGTAACAGCCCTCCGCACCCTGCTGGGATTATGTCGACTACTGTATTAGTGACAGCCTTCCCTTCTCCTGCTGGGATTATGTCGACTACTGTATTAGTAACAGCCTTCCCTTCTCCTGCTGGGATTATGTCGACTACTGTATTAGTAACAGCCTTCCCTTCTCCTGCTGGGATTATGTCGACTACTGTATTAGTGACAGCCTTCCCTACTCCTGCTGGGATTATGTCGACTACTGTATTAGTAACAGCCTTCCGCTCTCCTGCTGGGATTATGTCAACTACTGTATTAGTAACAGCCTTCCGTTCTGCCGGAATTATGTCGACTACTGTATTAGTAACAGCCTCCCGCTCCCTGCTGGGATAATGTCGACTACTGTATTAGTGACAAACTTCCGTTCTTCTGCTGGGATTATGTCAACTACTGTATAAGTAACAGCCCTCCGCACCCTGCTGGGATTATGTCGACTACTGTATTAGTGACAGCCTTCCCTTCTCCTGCTGGGATTATGTCGACTACTGTATTAGTAACAGCCTTCCGTTCTCCTGCTGGGATTATGTCGACTACTGTATTAGTAACAAACTTCCCTTCTCCTGCTTGGATTATGTCGACTACTGTATTAGTAACAGCCTTCCGTTCCCCACCTGGGCTTATGTCGACTACTGTATTAGTAACAGCCTTCCGTTCTCCTCCTGGGCTTATGTCGACTACTGTATTAGTAACAGCCTTCCGTTCCCCTCCTGGGATTATGTCGACTACTGTATTAGTAACAGCCTTCCGTTCTCCTGCTGGGATTATGTCGACTACTGTATTAGTAACAGCCTTCCCTTCTCCTGCTGGGATTATGTCGACTACTGGATAAGTAACAGCCTTCCGTGCCCCTCCTGGGATTATGTCGACTACTGTATTAGTTACAGCCTTCCGCTCTCCTGCTGGGATTATGTCAACTACTGTATTAGTAACAGCCTTCCGTTCTCCTGCTGGGATTATGTCAACTACTGTATTAGTAACAGCCTTCCGTTCTGCCGGAATTATGTCGACTACTGTATTAGTAACAGCCTTCCGTTCTGCCGGAATTATGTCGACTACTGTATTAGTAACAGCCTCACGCTCCCTGCTGGGATTATGTCAACTACTGTATTAGTGACAAACTTCCGTTCTTCTGCTGGGATTATGTCAACTACTGTATAAGTAACAGCCCTCCGCACCCTGCTGGGATTATGTCGACTACTGTATTAGTGTCAAACTTCCGTTCTCCTGCTGGGATTATGTCGACTACTGTATTAGTGACAAACTTCCGTTCTCCTGCTGGGATTATGTCGACTACTGTATTAGTAACAGCCTTCCGTTCTCCTGCTGGGATTATGTCGACTACTGTATTAGTAACAGCCTTCTGTTCTCCTGCTGGGATTATGTCGACTACTGTATTAGTAACAAACTTCCCTTCTCCTGCTGGGATTATGTCGACTACTGTATTAGTAACAGCCTTCCGCTCCCCTCCTGGGCTTATGTCGACTACTGTATTAGTAACAGCCTTCCGTTCTCCTGCTTGGATTATGTCGACTACTGTATTAGTAACAGCCTTCCGTTCTCCTGCTGGGATTATGTCGACTACTGTATTAGTAACAGCCTTCCGTTCTCCTGCTGGGATTATGTCGACTACTGTATTAGTAACAGCCTTCCGTTCCCCTCCTGGGATTATGTCGACTACTGTATTAGTAACAGCCTTCCGTTCTCCTGCTGGGATAATGTCAACTACTGTATTAGTGACAAACTTACGTTCTTCTGCTGGGATTATGTCAACTACTGTATAAGTAACAGCCCTCCGCACCCTGCTGGGATTATGTCGACTACTGTATTAGTGACAGCCTTCCCTTCTCCTGCTGGGATTATGTCGACTACTGTATTAGTAACAGCCTTCCGTTCTCCTGCTGGGATTATGTCGACTACTGTACTAGTAACAAACTTCCCTTCTCCTGCTTGGATTATGTCGACTACTGTATTAGTAACAGCCTTCCGTTCCCCACCTGGGCTTATGTCGACTACTGTATTAGTAACAGCCTTCCGTTCTCCTCCTGGGCTTATGTCGACTACTGTATTAGTAACAGCCTTCCGTTCCCCTCCTGGAATTATGTCGACTACTGTATTAGTAACAGCCTTCCGTTCTCCTGCTGGGATTATGTCGACTACTGTATTAGTAACAGCCTTCCCTTCTCCTGCTGGTATTATGTCGACTACTGTATAAGTAACAGCCTTCCGTTCCCCTCCTGGGATTATGTCGACTACTGTATTAGTTACAGCCTTCCGCTCTCCTGCTGGGATTATGTCGACTACTGTATTAGTAACAGCCTTCCGTTCTCCTGCTGGGATTATGTCAACTACTGTATTAGTAACAGCCTTCCGTTCTGCCGAAATTATGTCGACTACTGTATTAGTAACAGCCTTCCGTTCTGCCGGAATTATGTCGACTACTGTATTAGTAACAGCCTCCCGCTCCCTGCTGGGATTATGTCAACTACTGTATTAGTGACAAACTTCCGTTCTTCTGCTGGGATTATGTCAACTACTGTATAAGTAACAGCCCTCCGCACCCTGCTGGGATTATGTCGACTACTGTATTAGTGTCAAACTTCCGTTCTCCTGCTGGGATTATGTCGACTACTGTATTAGTGACAAACTTCCGTTCTTCTGCTGGGATTATGTCAACTACTGTATAAGTAACAGCCCTCCGCACCCTGCTGGGATTATGTCGACTACTGTATTAGTGTCAAACTTCCGTTCTCCTGCTGGGATTATGTCGACTACTGTATTAGTGACAAACTTCCGTTCTTCTGCTGGGATTATGTCAACTACTGTATAAGTAACAGCCCTCCGCACCCTGCTGGGATTATGTCGACTACTGTATTAGTGTCAAACTTCCGTTCTCCTGCTGGGATTATGTCAACTACTGTATTAGTGACAAACTTCCGTTCTTCTGCTGGGATTATGTCAACTACTGTATAAGTAACAGCCCTCCGCACCCTGCTGGGATTATGTCAACTACTGTATTAGTGACAAACTTCCGTTCTTCTGCTGGGATTATGTCAACTACTGTATAAGTAACAGCCCTCCGCACCCTGCTGGGATTATGTCGACTACTGTATTAGTGTCAAACTTCCGTTCTCCTGCTGGGATTATGTCGACTACTGTATTAGTAACAGCCTTCCGTTCTCCTGCTGGGATTATGTCGACTACTGTATTAGTAACAGCCTTCTGTTCTCCTGCTGGGATTATGTCGACTACTGTATTAGTAACAAACTTCCCTTCTCCTGCTGGGATTATGTCGACTACTGTATTAGTAACAGCCTTCCCTTCTCCTGCTGGGAATATGTCAACTACTGTATTAGTAACAGCCTTCCGTTCCCCTCCTGGGCTTATGTCGACTACTGTATTAGTAACAGCCTTCCCTTCTCCTGCTGGGAATATGTCGACTACTGTATTAGTAACAGCCTTCCCTTCTCCTGCTGGGAATATGTCGACTACTGTATTAGTAACAGCCTTCCGTTCTCCTCCTGGGATTATGTCGACTACTGTATTAGTAACAGCCTTCCGTTCCCCTCCTGGGCTTATGTCGACTACTGTATTAGTAACAGCCTTCCGTTCCCCTCCTGGGCTTATGTCGACTACTGTATTAGTAACAGCCTTCCGTTCCCCTCCTGGGATTATGTCGACTACTGTATTAGTAACAGCCTTCCGTTCTCCTGCTGGGATTATGTCGACTACTGGTTAGGGAAGGTTAGACAAAGTTACCTCCCCTTATTTGCGTGTAGGTTCTACTAGGTTCTACTACATCAGGACCAGATGGGACAATTCGGGTTTACCTTTAGTAACGATCGAGTGATATCTCGAGGCTGTGATTGGAATATATTGTGTAAGATGTTTATGCCTTTTAAATGTACATCCATCCAGTTATTAAAACCGACCGTGTTTTCTATATTTAGTTCTGTCTTATTCAACATGATGACTTATGCTGGGGGGGGGTTAGCTTCCTGTACTCGGAAAAGGAGCTGGCTAAGCTAGTAAATTTGTTTTGTTTTTTTGCTGCTCTCAGGCCAAACTGTACACACACGTACAGGTAATACCTGTTGAATGCTTATTTAAAAACAAAATATAACGTTACTATAGAAGTCTATGGGAAAACATTTGGTTGTGTGTAACCCGTAGCCGATAGAAGTTTGAGCGCCTTTTCAAGATTGGAAAATAGGCTCAAGTACGGTTTGACTTTTGACTTTCATCGCCCTGTATGGAGGTGATCATGTAAGTATCTGTAAGTTTATTTCTGTATTGGAGGCCATTGGGCCATGTACATATGAAAGAGAAAGTGATTTTTACAGGATGCACGCGCATTTGTTACAATTATTGATTTGACAGTGACAATTTTGATAGTCGTATACTTTAGGCTTTTTGCACCTTTTGGATACATTCATAAGTACAAAATGATTACTTCAGTTCAATAGCCTTTTTAGAGAAATGACAATCTTACTGTTGTGATATATGCATCAATTTTACGAGGATTGTAATGTCCAAAGGGAGAAAAGCGGAAAATATATGCTTACGGTAATGATAATTGTTTCATTGATAACATGTAAACTGTATTTGATGAATTGACAAAAAAACAATCTTACCCTTCGTTACGAATGGTTCTAATTAGAGTTGAATGATGAATTACTCCTAAAATGTCCAAACTGTTTCTAAAATGAAATTGTCTAATTTTTAAAGACACATTTAAAATGTAGTTCTTTGTTGATGCACACAGTTATGAAATGTCTATTTTTTATTTCAATCTTAAAATGTTAAATGTTTGAGATATAATTATGTATCGAAAACCATAAATGTGGGTGTATTCAGAAAAAAGTCAAAAGACAATACACCTGAACTATTTCAGTGCTGAGAAACTGAACTTACACAGTGCATCTTGCGAAACTATTTGGAGATTTTACGTGCGCTTTCCGACATATTGCGAATTTCGTCCACGCTCATCCTTCTTATAAAATACATTGAGACATTTTTGAAGTTACTAGACACATAAATTTGCATATCATTATATTCTGTTGTTTTTTTTTGTCTGGTAACTGTGATAGACATCTATAGTAACAGTATGGACAACTGAATACATGCCTGATATTAATGAATATGTATACAAAAAAAGACCGTTGATTCATTCCTTCAAAACATACTGATAAAAAATGTGAAATCTACCATACGATAAAAAGTATAAAATTGATTTTTTTAAGTTGACTGGCTGTGAAAGTAACATAATAGGCTATTTATATTGCGCATATTTCCACACCACTCAAAGCATGCTCAAAGCGCTATTATTACCCCGGTAACTGTTTGTTTGTTTTGTTTGTTTGTTGTTTAACGCCGCACTCAGCAATATTCCAGCTGTATGACGGCGGTCTGTAAATAATCGAGTCTGGACCAGACAATCTAGTGATTAATATCATGATCATCGATCCACGCTATTGGGATCGATGACATGTATCAACCAAGTCAGCGAGCCTGACAACCCAATCCCGTTAGTCGCCTCTTACGACAAGCATAGTCACCTTTTACGGCAAGCATGGGTTGCTGAAGACCTATTCTACCCCGGAATCTTCACGGGTCCATTCACAAAGGTAGGCACAGAACCAACTGTAAGAAATGATAATTCAAACGACACACAGTGTGCGTACATTGTTTGTTAGAAATACGGTAACAAGAAACCGGCAATGACTGATATTTGTTTCAAAATTTAACTCAGGGTTGTAACTTACCTGAAAAGTAGTGGGAAATCAATATACAGACCCACACAGACCACAGGTACATCATCTTTGTACCAAAAATATCAAACACAAAATGCTTGTTTTTATTATGATGCGTCGTTGAAAGGGCTGACTCCGTCACGTGCTACTTTTTAGGTAGGAGGTTTCTTAGTTATGCACAGAGATGCTGTTGATGAAGAAGGAAGTCATCCAACGTCATCACATCCTCGGTTATATAATTACACGTGGTACATCTAAGACAGAGGGGTGGTCGGGTAGCCTAGTGGTTAAAGCGTTCGCTCGTCACGCCGAAGACCCGGGTTCGATTCCCGACTTGGGTACAATGTGTGAAGCCCATTTCTGGTGTCCCCGGCCGTGATATTGCTGGAATATTGCTAAACGCGGCGTAAAACACTACTCACTTACTCACCTTTAGTAATGCACAGTGATCATATGGTGACGTAGATGTGCAGAGCAAAATCAGAACATGTTGTCTTAGTTAAAAATATGGTTTCATTAAAAGAAAACACGAACAGTGATATGGATGGAATGAACAATGGCGATTTACGGAATCACAAAATAATCAAACAAACACGATAACTTTTTACAAAGACACATTGAATTTGAAAGTAAACAAGCGAGAGTGTAATCACATTGTGTCACTAGGCAACCAACAGTAAAAAGTATACACTCGTGGAACAAAGGAATATACCGTTGTCACGCAACAGGTGACTGGCGTTGCCTGACAACGGTATAATGATCTATACCGAAACGTCGCCTTTGCGGTATTAAAGAAGTTGTTATCCATAAATTGTGTCCACTTTGTCATCTGTCAACTTCTAAGTAATGCCGGGGTGGTCGGGTAGCTTAGTGGTTAAAGCGTTCGCTCGTCACGCCGAAGACCCGGGTTCGATTCCCGACATGGGTACAATGTGTGAAGCTCATTTCTGGTGTCCCCCGCCGTGATATTGCTGGAATATTGCTAAAGACGGCGTAAAACCATACCCACTCACCCTAAGTAATGCCTATCAAACAATTCACTCGTGGGACATTCATTGATTTGAGTAAGATGTCTTGTTGTTTGCCGGTTGTCCGATCGCTGCCTCGTGGGTAGCAAGGTTGAAGGTGGTGGGTTGGCCAGGCAAGGCGACTGATTGGTTGTTGTTCCGTGTCTCGGTCTCACCTCAGTCTCACCTCAGTCTCACCTCAGTCCATTGTTTATTTAATTGTAGTTTCTGCGTCGGGGCTCATGAAGTAAGGTTGTTTGATTCTGTCATTTCTGGTTTGACACATTTGATCGCCAGCCGAATATATGTATGAAATCGTCATCTTATTTGGGGGGATAGGCAGGTGGCTGGGCGTTGTACTGCGGGGGAGGGGGGTACGCTGCCTGGCCGGGGGGAGGGGGATACGCTGCCTGGCCTGGGGGAGGGTGATACGGCGCCTGGCCTGGGGGAGGGTACGCGTTGTATCCGGGAGGAGGGGGCATCTGGCCCACATGACAGCCGTAGTGTTGTTGACCAGACATACCTACAACATGAAAACATAACTTGTACTGGGGCAGCAGGAAAACAACGGTCATCAAACGTTGATGTAAATGGGACTGTTACCGCTTTATGGTAGGCTATACAGCGAAGCCATCGACCATACGTCGTGTTGCCCGTAGTTCGAGACAAGCGGAGTGGCGATATTAAACGATAACACCAATAAGAATCTGTAAAGTGATATTGTTTTTTTATGGTTTAATGCCGCACTCGTCAAATATTCAAGCCCTGTGATGGCGGCCGCGGCCTATAAATAACCACTGCCACACAATCCAGTGACTGTTATTATTGGGTGCAATGAATTCACTAAGTCACCGAACATGGCCACCGATCCCCTAATTCGCTTTTTACGACCAGCATAATGAGACCCGGTATCCCCACATCAAATTTCCCCGTATCTTGTCACACTGTTATGAAAGCATGAATGCCCTTGTATATATATCACTATATAAAAATCATAAGATATTGGTTAAAATTACTAAATATGCCAGAAAGTAGATCACCAATAAAATGTTATAATATGATGCTATTGTATGAAAAGAATGGAGATCAAAATAGGGCATACAATGTAAAATGTCTACTGTATAACTGTGGGTATGGTTACATCTGGGAAAACCAATGTTTCTTAGAGAATCATGCCATGTTCATATCGAAAATAAGGCAGACGTTTTTCACATGTACTTTCAAACATGATGATCTACTGTAGATGTTTCAAGCAAATGCGAATATTTAATTGATATAAATATAAGAAAATGCAGAATATCTTAAACACAATTTAGATGCAGCTCAGACAGGTTAATGGTTGAATTTGGCAGGCACAAAAAAAACCAAAATGTTTAAGATTATGTAAACAATGTTCCTTAAATGTCGTCGAAGAAGAATTTCACTTTTTACTTGGTGTTGTAAATATTTTAAGGAAATATATATTGAACAAAAATACTATGTACATCCAAATAAATGCAAGTGTATCTCTTTAATATCTCATGTAAGCAAAACGGCTCTGCAAAATCTCTCTCTTTATATGTCATTCCATGTTAGTAAGAAATGAATCCTTGTAACATTTTAAACTGCTTCCACATTGTCATGTATTCTGTACTATGGGCCTGAGGCCTTACAGTTATATATAAATAAACTGAATTGAATTGAATGAAAGCAAAGTGTTGTCTGCGATGAATTTCCAACCTGTTGTTGCGACCACCGTCGTGGCCCCCATCCCCACGTTCTGCACGCCGATCACACGGCCTGGCCTGTTGGCCGACCTGACACAGGCGTAGATGACGGCGATGACGAAAACGACGAAGAAGAAGGCGCCGACTGAGGCACCGGTGATCACAGACACACTGTTTGGAAGTAAGATGATATGTTCATATAAATATGGGCAGGTACAAGTAGTTAACTGATACCACGGGACAGATCACGTACATGCAGCGTTGTTTAATTGTAAACTTTGTCAGTCGTTGCTTGAGATCCCGGCAAAATACATTTATTTATTTGTTTCTTGTTTAACTCCGCACTCAGCAATATTCAAGCAATATGACGACGGTCTGTAAATAATCGAGTCTTGACCAGACAATCCAGTGACTGACATCATGAGCATCGATCCGTAAAAGGCAACTATGCTGGTCGTAAGAGGTGACCTACGGGATCGGGTGGTCAGACCCCCTGACTTGGTTGATGTACGTCATCGTATCTCAATTGCGTGGGTCGATGCTCATGATGTAAATCACTGGATTGTCTGGTCCTCACTCGATTATTTACAGACCGCCGTCTTTTAGCTAGAATATTTTGAGTGCGTCGTTAAACAAAATAAATAAATGTCTTTTGTGTGGATATCAAGCTACAACAAAATACAAGCTGAATGTAAGTGCATGTAGTGACGTGATTGGTTGTAGCCACGTTCAGGGCTACTTCGTAACAAACTCCGACCCATTCGTCACCACTCGCCCCTTTCCGTAACCTGCAAGAAGAGCTTGTCCCGGAATAACACGAGTTGGTCACGAATGACCCCGACCTTTGGATATCCCGTGGGGCCTTGGATTTTGTATCGGTGAGGTGAAATTGTGTTTAACGTCGCGTCCAAGATTATTGCACTTATATAGCGACGTGCATGTACGTGTGTGTGTTTGTGTGGCTGCTTGTACTAGTCCTGACTGATGCCGATTTTATAGTGCTATCCCACTGAGATACCATGTCGCAGTTTAACATGAATACCCCATTCAGACACAGTATACTGACTCCAAGCCGACCAGTCCTTGTTTTAGCCCCTCAATGCCGAGCGCCAGACAGGGTAACAACAAGTACCATCTTTTAACGTCTTTTGGTATGACGCGGCTGGGGATCGAACCCCGGACCTTCTGCTTTCCAGGCGGACGCTCTACCATTAGACCACGGAGGCGGTTGGATTTTGTATCGAGATTAGATATTTTTTTAGATACAGCTTCAAAAGCAGATACGTTTCTTTATGAGCCTGATTTTTGTAAAGAAAAACATTTTGCAAGACTGTCATTTTCGTTGCAGGGAATTTTGTTCAACAGTCTGAAGCATAAGTATTATTTTCTAGAATGCTCAAGGCCGCTTTATTAGTGTTACTTTGTACAGCAGTATCTGTTTGAGTAGCTGCCGCAGCAACCGCTGGAACAGTACATCGTCGAGTAGCCGGAGGAATAACGCGAGCAGTACTCTGCCGTGACATCTGAAATAACAAGAAGAGTGAGTGAGTGAGTGAGTGAGTGAGTGAGGTTTACCGCCTCTTTGAACAGTGTTTCACTTATACCACGTCATGTCTGTTTGGTGGGTGGATGTTGTGAGTGAGTGGGTGGATGTTGTGAGTGAGTGAGTGAGTGAGTGAGTGAGTGAGTGAGTGAGTGAGTGAGTGAGGTTTACCGCCGCTTTGAACAGTGTTTCACAGAGCTACGTGCATACACGTGAAAAACAGTACACATCTTGCATTAAATCCGCTATATACATGCACAAACGCAACAAATATTAAAGTCAATTCTTGTATGACTTTTATTACTGGCACACTTATATACATAAATATATATCGTTTGATCAGATATTATTGAAAATCTTTTATACCATTTTGGTCATCAATGTTTACCATATGAATAATGTGTATGTAGAACCTATTCTAACTTTGATTCAAGGGAGACAACTCCGCGTGTGATATTTATAAAGTATGACCAGAGTTGTCTTCCCTGGTAAACAAGCTCACAAATAAGACCACGGTGGAAATGTCGGCTTTGGTAAAAAGGAAGATTATATCTGAATTATACAATCAAGGAATCAGATCAGCACAGGTCATTAAAGAGAGAACAGGCATTCCACCTTCAACTGTGTAACGTGTTTTGAAAAATATTGAGAGTGGAGATGGAATTGAGCACAAAAAGGTGCAGGAAGGCTAAAGAAATTGACTGTTGGTGACAGAAGGCGACTTGGTATATTGGCGACTAAAAACAGACGCAAGAGAAACTGGAAACATGAAATGATTAATAGAGGAACAGTTTATGTTTCTAAATTGACAATAAGAACGCATTTGCATGCAATGGGTTGCCAGAAATCACGAGGAATTCAATCACCGCTCCTAAAGCCTGAACAGCAAGAACGACGTTTGAACTGGTTCTTGCTGTTCAGCATAGAAATTTCAACAGGGACAATTGTATGTTCTCAGAGGGCCAGTGGGGTAGCTCAGTGGTTAAAGCGTTCGCTCGTCATGTTCGACTCCCGACATGGGTACGATGTGTGAAGCCTCATTCTGGTGTTCCCAGCCGTGATATTGCTGGAATATTGCTTAAAGTGGCGAAAAAACATACTCACTCATTCATTATGTTCTCAGATGAAAGTTCAGTGTGGCTATATCAAAACTGCATAAAAATGTGGATCGAAAAGTACAAAAAAACAATTTACCAGCGTCAAAAGTAAAGTCCTAAATTTCAGGTGTGAGGTTGGGTGTCTGTGTTGGATGACACACCATTACGTGTATTTAAAGGTAACATGACCAGTGCAGTGTCCACTGATAGTCTACAGTGACATGCCCTTCCATCAGCACACGTTTAGATCCAAATCATAGAGCAACACATTCTCAGGAATGGTTAAACCAGCAAAATGTCACACTTCTGGACTGGCCCAGCTAAAAATCGGCCCTGAACCCAATAGAACATAATTGGGGAATCATGAAGGACAATGTCAATAACAAAAATCTCAAACGTATATGTGATATGGAATCAGCAGGTTGTGAGATATCGGGACAGTGACTCGTGATATTCTAACTTCCTTGATAGGTGGTATCCCTCGCCGCATTGAAGCATGTATTAGGAGAAGTGGTGATCTGACAAACTATTGAACAGCTGTTTTGTAGCTTAAGGTAAGCAGTGTCTGTTGGACAAACCTATCTCTTGGCCTATGACTTAATAAATCTATAATTTACAATGCTCTCATTGTAAGTAATATTCTGGTCATTCTATATACATGGAAACAATCACTCATCACGAATAGTTTGTCAAATCAAATGTCGTTCACCATGTCGGCCATTTTGACAGCATGTGTTTCAAAAGGAACCACAACGCACTTTAATGCCTTGGCATTTCTTTACATACTCACCAATTCATACTATTATTCACACATTTCCTGTAAACAAGTCTCTGAAAGGCATTTAGAAGTGATACACACAAGGAAGAGAATTTGTGGATGTCAACTTCTTTATTAGGTGGAACACAACGTTTCGGAGTATATGCTATAATCACTTCATCATGTGAATAAATGCCATGAGGCAGAGACCATATATATGTACCTGTGAAAATAACATAAGTAATAAGATAAAGGTGAAAACTTGACAAGGGAAGCCAACAGTAAATCACCTACCAGCGCCATTTATCAGGCAAGTCGCCTTTGACGACCAGCATAGGTAGCTATGGACAAACACTAACCCTAAATTCCCCCGAAGAGACCAACATAGTTATCTATGACCAACACTAACCCGGAATTCCTCTGAGGAAACCAACATAGTTATCTATGACCAACACTAACCCGGATATCCCCCGAGGAGACCAACATAGTAATCTATGACCAACACTAACCCGGATATCCCCCAGGAAGACAAACATAGTTATCTATGACCAACACTAACCCGGATATCCCCCAGGAAGACAAACATAGTTATCTATGACCAACACTAACCTGGAATTCTCCTGAGGAGACCAACATAGTTATCTATGACCAACACTAACCCGGAATTTCCTCTGAGGAAACCAACATAGTTATCTATGACCAACAGTAACCCGGATATCCCCCAGGAAGACCAACATAGTAATCTATGACCAACACTAACCTGGAATTCTCCTGAGGAGACCAACATAGTTATCTATGACCAACACTAACCTGGAATTCTCCTGAGGAGACCAACATAGTTATCTATGACCAACACTAACCCGGAATTTCCCTGAAGAGACCAACATAGATATCTATGATCAACACTAACCCTGAATTCCCCTGAAGAGACCAACATAGATATCTATGATCAACACTAACCCGCAATTCACTTTAGGAGGCCAACATAGTTATCTATGACCAAGAGTAACCCGTAATTCCCCTGAAGAGACCAACATAGTTATCTATGACCAACAGTAAACCTGAATTCCCCTGAGGAGACAAACATAGTAATCTATGATCAACAGTAACCCGTAATTCCCCTGAAGAGACCAACATAGTTATCTATGATCAACAGTAACCCTGAATTCCCCTGAGGAGGCCAACATAGTTATCTATGATCAACAGTAACCCGTAATTCCCCTGAAGAGACCAACATAGTTATCTATGACCAACAGTAACCCTGAATTCCCCTGAAGAGACCAACATAGTAATCTATGACCAACACTAACCCGTAATTCCCCTGAAGAGACCAACATAGTTATCTATGACCAACAGTAACCCTGAATTCCCCTGAGGAGACCAACATAGTAATCTATGACCAACACTATCCGTAATTCCCCTGAAGAGACCAACATAGTAATCTACGACAAACACTAACCCGTAATTCCCCTGAAGAGACCAACATAGTTACCTATGACCAACAGTAACCCTGAATTCCCCTGAGGAGACCAACATAGTTATCTATGATCAACAGTAACCCGTAATTCCCCTGAAGAGACCAACATAGTTATCTATGACCAACAGTAACCCTGAATTCCCCTGAGGAGACCAACATAGTAATCTATGACCAACACTAACCCGTAATTCCCCTGAAGAGACCAACATAGTTATCTATGACCAACAGTAACCCTGAATTCCCCTGAGGAGACCAACATAGTAATCTATGACCAACACTAACCCGTAATTCCCCTGAAGAGACCAACATAGTTATATATGACCAACAGTAACCCTGAATTCCCCCGAGGAGACCAACATAGTTATCTGTGACCAACACTAGCCCGGAATTCACCTGAAGAGGCCAACATAGATATCTATGATCAACACTTACCCGCAATTTACTTTAGGAGGCCAACGTAGTTATCTATGACCAACACTAACCCGTAATTCCCCTGAGGAGACCAACATAGTTATCTATGACCAACAGTAACCCTGAATTCCCCTGAGGAGACCAACATAGTTATCTGTGACCAACACTAGCCCGGAATTCACCTGAGGAAAGCAACATAGTTATCTATAACCAACACTAACACGCAATTCCCTTGAGGAGACCAACAGAGTTATCTATGACCAACACTAACCCTCAATTCCCTTTAGGAGACCAACATAGTTATCTATGACCAACTCTAACCCTGCAATACCTTGAGGAGACCAACATAGTTATCTATGACCAACACTAACCCTGAATTTCCCTGAAGAGACCAACATTGTGTGTATCAATTCTAAATGCCTTTCAACGACTTATTTTGCGGTGTCCTAACAGTTTTTGTGATATATAATGTTATTTACCTTCCAGTAGAACCAGAAGAATTCCGGTTAGACAGTAGAGCACCTCCATGGCGAATTGTGGCTGGGGTTTGATCCCAACTCAACTACGAGCGGGAAGTTTCACACCAATCACTTGTAACCAGGGATGCAAAAAATCCAAGTCGTCGGACGAGATAGTAACTATGGACGCTAACCAACCATTGCCACTTGTCTCAAGTTTGATCCGGAAATAAATAATCTTATCTCGAAATGATCTCCAAGCAGGTCTGACTGCATATATGTAACGACGTTACTAGGGAGAGAATGTCGTAATGTCGTTTGTCGCCTCTTACGACAAGCATAGTCGCCTTTTACGACAAGCATGGGTTGCTGAAGACCTATAATTCTACCCCTGATCTTCACGGGTCCCCCGTTTGAGTTAAACAATCGTGTAACGTAAATTCGTATGATCTGTTTCTGTCATCACAATAGATGTCATGTAACTATTTAAAATCTCCAGAAAGTATAGGAACTAAAAACTTATTGAATAAAATGATATCAGTTACGTAATTACACCCGGACCTATGTGGTTGTGAGTGTCACTGTTGTGCACAAACATGTTGATTTATTGGTCAATATGTGTACTTGGTAAACAATGCCCCACTGATAAGACTGTAAGCCTACTCAGCCGTATGTTTGTAGTTCGTACAAGGAAGAAAGGTGCACCCTGATCAAGCCTACCATATTTCACTTCAACATTGTGTTTACAGTCTGACGTCGGGATCCTCGGGAAGAAACTTAGACACAGCGAACTACTATGCCCCGCAGACTGAATGACTGACACACAAATTGTTACGAGGCCATGCCGGGAGAGGTTTCCAGCAGCTCTATGCAAGTAGAGTGCCCTGTGCTTGTTCTCTTATAGGTACATCACGTATTGTTCTATGCCGAAACTTCTCGGACGATCAAGCCGGGCATGTTCATGACCACAATAAGGGCAGATAATTCTCAATCCATACAAAACCAATCTGGAAAACCCTTCTCGCTGCTGTACTGCTATCCAGAACGGGAATTGGTATTATCTTATCTTCTCATCTCCTGCATTACAAGTATCGGGTGTCATCTCCTCATTTACAAGTATCGAGTGTCATCTCCCCATTTACAAGTATCGAGTGTCATCTCCCCATTTACAAGTATCAGTGTCATCTCCTCCACTACAAGTATCGGGTGTCATCTCCTCCATTACAAGTATCGGGTGTCATCTCCTCAAAACAAGTATCGGGTGTCATCTCCTCCATTACAAGTATCGGGTGTCATCTCCTCCACTACAAGTATCGGGTGTCATCTCCTCCATTACAAGTATCGGGGGTCATCTCCTCCACTACAAGTATCGGGGGTCATCTCCTCCACTACAAGTATCGGGTGTCATCTCCTCATTTACAAATATCGGGTGTCATCTCCTCCATTACAAGTATCGGGTGTCATCTCCTCCACTACAAGTATCAGTGTCATCTCCTCTACTACAAGTATCAGTGTCATCTCCTCCACTACAAGTATCGAGTGTCATCTCCCCATTTACAAGTATCAGTGTCATCTCCTCCACTACAAGTATCAGTGTCATCTCCTCTACTACAAGTATCAGTGTCATCTCCTCCACTACAAATATCGGGTGTCATCTCCTCCATTACAAGTATCGGGTGTCATCTCCTCCACTACAAGTATCGGGGGTCATCTCCTCCACTATAAGTATCGGGTGTCATCTCCTCATTTACAAGTATCGGGTGTCATCTCCTCCATGACGGGTATCGGGTGTCATCTCCTCCACTACAAGTATCGGGTGTCATCTCCTCCACTACAAGTATCGGGTGTCATCTCCTCCACTACAAGTATCGGGTGTCATCTCCTCCACTACAAGTATCGGGTGTCATCTCCCCATTTACAAGTATCAGTGTCATCTCCTCTACTACAATTATCGAGTGTCATCTCCTCCACTAAAAGTATCCGGTGTCATCTCCTCATTTACAAGTATCGGGTGTCATCTCCTCCATTACAAGTATCGGGTTGTCATCTCCTCCACTACAAGTATCGGGTGTCATCTCCTCCACTAAAAGTATCCGGTGTCATCTCCTCCATTACAAGTATCGGGTGTCATCTCCTCCATTACAAGTATCGGGTGTCATCTCCTCCATTACAAGTATCGGGTGTCATCTCCTCCATTACAAGTATCAGTGTCATCTCCTCCCTTTCAAATATCGGGAGTCATCTCCTCCACTACAAGTATCGGGTTGCCATCTCCTCCACTACAAGTATCGGGTGTCATCTCCCCATTTTCAAGTATCAGTGTCATCTCCTCTACTACAATTATCGGGTGTCATCTCCTCCATTACAAGTATCGGGTGTCATCTCCTCCACTACACGTATCGGGTGTCATCTCCTCAATTACAAGTATCGGGTGTCATCTCCTCCATTACAAGTATCAGTGTCATCTCCTCCCTTTCAAATATCGGGTGTCATCTCCATTACAAGTATCGGGTTGCCATCTCCTCCACTACAAGTATCGGGTGTCGTCTCCTCCACTACAAGTATCAGTGTCATCTCCTCCATTACAAGTATCGGGTCTCATCTCCTCCATTACAAGTATCGGATGTCATCTCCCCATTTACAAGCATCCGGTGTCATCTCCTCCATTACAAGTATCGGGTGTCATCTCCTCCATTACAAGTATCGGATGTCACCTCCCCATTTACAAGTATCAGTGTCATCTCCTCTACTACAAGTATCAGTGTCATCTCCTCCATTACAAGTATCGGGTGTCATCTCCTCATTTACAAGTATCGGGTGTCATCTCCTCCATTACAAGTATCGGGTGTCATCTCCTCAATTACAAGTATCGGATGACATCTCTTCCATTACAGGTATCAGTTCCATCTCCTCCATTACAAGTATCGGGTGTCATCTCCTCCATTATAAATATCGGGTGTCATCTCCTCATTTACAAGTATCGGGTCTCATCTCCTCCATTACAAGTATCGGATGTCACCTCCCCATTTACAAGCATCAGTGTCATCTCCTCTACTACAAGTATCAGTGTCATCTCCTCCATTACAAGTATCGGGTTGCCATCTCCTCCACTAGAAGTATCGGGTGTCGTCTCCTCCACTACAAGTATCAGTGTCATCTCCTCCACTACAAGTATCGGGTCTCATCTCCTCCGTTACAAGTATCGGATGTCATCTCCCCATTTACAAGCATCAGTGTCATCTCCTCTACTACAAGTATCAGTGTCATCTCCTCCATTACAAGTATCGGGTGTCATCTCCTCCATTACAAGTATCGGGTGTCACCTCCTCCATTACAAGTATCGGATGACATCTCTTCCATTACAGGTATCAGTTCCATCTCCTCCATTACAAGTATCGGGTGTCATCTCCTCCATTATAAATATCGGGTGTCATCTCCTCCATTACAAGTATCGGATGTCATCTCCCTATTTACAAGCATCAGTGTCATCTCCTCTACTACAAGTATCAGTGTCATCTCCTCCATTACAAGTATCGGGTGTCATCTCCTCATTTACAAGTATCGGGTGTCATCTCCTCCATTACAAGTATCGGATGACATCTCTTCCATTACAGGTATCAGTTCCATCTCCTCCATTACAAGTATCGGGTGTCATCTCCTCCATTATAAATATCGGGTGTCATCTCCTCCATTACAAGTATCGGATGTCACCTCCCCATTTACAAGCATCAGTGTCATCTCCTCTACTACAAGTATCAGTGTCATCTCCTCCATTACAAGTATCGGTTGTCATCTCCTCATTTACAAGTATCGGGTGTCATCTCCTCATTTACAAGTATCGGGTGTCATCTCCTCCATTACAAGTATCGGGTGTCATCTCCTCCACTACAAGTATCGGGTGTCATCTCCTCCATTACAAGTATCAGTGTCATCTCCTCCCTTTCAAATATCGGGTGTCATCTCCTCCATTACAAGTATCGGGTGTCATCTCCTCCACTACACGTATCAGTGTCATCTCCTCCATTACAAGCATCAGTGTCATCTCCTCCCTTTCAAATATCGGGTGTCATCTCCTCCATTACAATTATCGGGTGTCATCTCCTCATTTACAAGTATCGGGTGTGATCTCCTCCATTACAAGTATCGGGTGTCATCTCCTCTACTACAAGTATCGGGTGTCGTCTCCTCCACTACACGTATCGGGTGTCATCTCCTCCATTACAAGCATCAGTGTCATCTCCTCCCTTTCAAATATCGGGCGTCATCTCCTCATTTACAAGTATCGGGTGTCATCTCCTCATTTACAAGTATCGGGTGTCATCTCCTCCACTACACGTATCGGGTGTCATCTCCTCCATTACAAGAATCGGGTGTCATCTGCTACACTACACGTATCGGGTGTCATCTCCTCCATTACAAGCATCAGTGTCATCTCCTCCCTTTCAAATATCGGGCGTCATCTCCTCATTTACAAGTATCGGATGTCATCTCCCCATTTACAAGCATCAGTGTCATCTCCTCTACTACAAGTATCGGGTGTCATCTCCTCCATTACAAGTATCGGGTGTCATCTCCTCATTTACAAGTATCGGGTGTGATCTCCTCCATTACAAGTATCGGGTGTCATCTCCTCAATTACAAGTATCGGATGACATCTCTTCCATTACAGGTATCAGTTCCATCTCCTCCATTACAAGTATCGGGTGTCATCTCCTCCATTATAAATATCGGGTGTCATCTCCTCCATTACAAGTATCGGATGTCACCTCCCCATTTACAAGCATCAGTGTCATCTCCTCTACTACAAGTATCAGTGTCATCTCCTCCATTGCAAGTATCGGTTGTCATCTCCTCATTTACAAGTATCGGGTGTCATCTCCTCATTTACAAGTATCGGGTGTCATCTCCTCCATTACAAGTATCGGGTGTCATCTCTTCCACTACACGTATCCGGGGTCATCTCCTCCATTACACATATCAGTGTCATCTCCTCCCTTTCAAATATCGGGTGTCATCTGCTCCATTACAAGTATCGGGTGTCATCTCCTCCATTAAATGTATCAGTGTCATCTCCCATTTACAAGTATCGAGTGTCATCTCCTCCCTTTCAAATATCGGGTGTCATCTCCTCCATTACAAATATCGGGTGTCATCTCCTCCATTACAAGTATCAGGTGTCATCTCCTCATTTACAAGTATCGGGTGTCATCTCCTCCATTACAAGTATCGGGTGTCATCTCCTCCATTACAAGTATCAGTGTCATCTCCTCATTTAC